GCCACCCTCGCGCCACCCCGACACGTCCGTCCGTCCATTCGTCCGTGTCTATGTGGCAGCTCTCTTCAGCCCCAGCTTTCCACGCCGGCTATCAACGCCGCGTTGACTCGGCGTTGGAGGACGCGAAAAGACGACTCCTCCTCCGCGAATCAACGCGATACAGCAGCTCCCCATCGCCCCACGCGACGAGACCTCTTTCCGACGTTGCAGATCCGAAATTTTATCTCGAATTAAATTCACCGACCGTCTGAAGACACTCGATATGTCGATGTCTTCTTTCCTTATTTTCTCTCGCGAAGATTTGCCACTCGAAATTTTTCGCCAAATCACGAAGGCCTTGTCGCATTTTCCTCTTCTCTTTCTTTTTTTCTTACCGTTTCATCGATATTCGTGACTCGAAATTTGACGTCACGAAATCAGGCAAAGCTCTGAATACGTGTAGGGGTGTGTGTGTGTGTGTGGGCGTGTAGGCGTTGGCGCAGTTTTTCCTCCTCTCTCATTTTTTTCCGAAACGACCATCCCTAATCTAGCGCACGACATGCACAACACACACACACACACACACACACACACACACACACACACACACACACACACACACACACACAGAGAGAGAGAGAGAGAGAGAGAGAGAGAGAGAGAGAGAGAGCTGGGATCGCGCGGGGTAAGCTCTCGCTCGCTCGAGTCGCGGCGGAACATCACGCAAGCGCGGCATTATACCAGGACGATCAAGAACCGACGGAACACTTATCCCCGCAAACGCTTATTGATTGTGACGCGCGCCTCGTCGTACGTCGCGCTCTCTCGCTCTGTCTGTCCATCTACCTTTCCCCGCCGACGACTTTCTCTATCTCTCTCTCTCTCTTTCTCTCGTCGATTCTCTTCTCGCTCGCATCGGCACGCACGCATGCACGTACGCACGTATCAAGCGTCAATTTCTGCTGCGTAATCTGTGATTTCGATTTGATTTGCAATTTTAAATACTCAAAGAATTATTTCGCGCCTAAATCGAAATTTTTATGCTACGCTGATTATAGCTGAATTAGCCGGAAATTGAGAAACCAAACGCGTTTTGGTTGAAGAAAACAGAATTTCTGGTTATAAGAACTATTATTATGATGTTCTGATGCTTTGAAGAATAATTTGTACCTTTTATATGGCCTACGGACTAATAAATGTCTGACGATATTGACACTTTTTTTATTTCTTTCGAAAAAAGGTTTGGTTGTATTAAACAGAAAGAGACCAATCAGATGTATTTTGATTGAAAAAACAGAATTTCTGGTTATAAAAATTACATTTGGGTCGTAAGAATCAGAAATTCCGTTTCCTTCACAACCAGTACGTATCTGGTTGTTCCTGTATTCTGGTTAATGCGACCAGATTTCCTTTTCCGCATACGGATCGAATGTTAATATTATCCTCAACGACCTATTTTCATAAAAAGAGCGAAAATTAATTTATTTTAAGACATCACCAGGATCAAGGTAAGGATTATATTATATTAGGATTGAGATTGAATCTATTTTGCTGTCTTAACTTCTACTATGCTGTAGAATTAAAAGTTGGACATAGAGCCAAAATTTCGACTCGACTGCGATTTTCCTCCTTCCTCGCCTGATAATCCGTAATCTAAATAACCATTCGCGTCATGTAAGCGCGGAACAGGAAAATCGTTTTAAAAATTGGAGTACGCCGTGTATTACGGAAAAATGACGATACGCCGAGAGGATGAGATTTAATGGTCACGCATTGCGAATGCTCGACGAGTGGTTTAACACTCGTGTCACGCGATCCCCGGCGTCTCTCTCTCTCTCTCTCTCTCTCTCTCTCTCACTCTCCGTGCGATAAGTCGCGTGCTCGCGTGCGACGGACGGAAAAGAACAGGACGAAATTTTACGGTACACGGATAACCAATTGAAAGCTCTTCGAGCGGTCATTGAGACGTCGGTCTTCATCGGATGCGCGATCCTTCCTTAGCAAAGTAACCTCGAAGACGCTTGTTTCTCTGCCCCTTTCACTAAAGATGGGAGTCGTATGAATAACGGGAAATAACCGCTGATTTTCCTTGTCAGTACGCGGACGCGTCGCAACGGTAACGTCATCGTCGAGTCTCATCGCACCTCGATGACTAATAAACGCCGCCTCGATCGTGCCGATCTGAATTTCCTACACGTGTCGCACTCGCGACGATATTCCTCAAAGTCGACGTCGCGCACGACGACACACCTGAGTTCCGGTCTGCAATAGCGTTTTAAGCCTTGAGAAATTGGCCAATCTCAGCCGATTATTCTCCTCACATTCGATTCACTGCCGATTGCTCAATTCCTTAAGACTTAAAACACCTTTTAGTAGACCGGAACGAACTCACGAGAAAGAGCTCTGCGGAATATCATCACGTCGAATCGCGAGCAGAAAAATCCCAACGTCGAAGAGAGCGCGAGTTACCCTGCCCGACTCGCCAATATACACCGTAACAGCATCATACGGCACTACAGGGTGCAACGTTATCAAACGTTATTAACGTTAACGAGCTGTAACGTTCCATCATCACTCGGCTCAGCGTGCAAAGTCGCGTTAAACGGTAGCGAGGCGCGAACGATTGAACGAAGAACGATCGTGGGCATCGATCGGCCGCGCGTCGGGGATGAATCGCGCCGAGAGGGAGAAGGAGAGAGAGAGAGAGGGAGGGAGAGAGGTAGAGAAACAGGGAGCTCTTCCCGCCAGGGCGCCTTCACTGTGACCCGGTTCCGGGGTGAACATAGCGCGCGCGGCCGCCGCCGCACGCGACTTGCGCGGGAGGTCGGTCGCGCGACGACGCGGCAGCGGGTCGGGGGGTTGCCGGCGAACCTAAGAACCCCGGGGTAAATTAACAATCGTTAACGTACGTACGATATCGGTAAGCATCATTTTCGCACCCCCCTCTCTTTCTCGACGGACCTCTCGCACCCTGGGCGCGCGCCCCCACGCCTCTCTTACTCTCCCCCCACTCCGCTGCCCTCTCTGCCCTCGCGGTATCATCCAGTTACCCCCGAGCTTCTGTGCGGGTGGTCGGACGCGCGCTCGCAGAAAGGCTGCCGCATGCGACAGCGGTGCGCATGTGCGCCGAGTATAGACCCGCGAGAAACGCGTTCCGCCAGTCGTCCGCGCGCCCGCGCGCTGCGTGTGTGTATGCGCTTGCTTTATGGCGCTGGCCCCGCTGTATACGTGTGTACGTACGCGTATGTGTACGTACATCGCGTGTGTACACACATGTGTGTCACGATTACTGTCCATTAAATTATCTTGTACACGCCGCTCGCTCGCTCGCTCGCTCGCGCGCGACCCCTCCCACGCAGCGCCCCTCGTGCCCCGTCGTCGTTGTTCCTCTTCCCCTCTCTCTCACTCTCTCTCTCTCCGCGTGCAATGCAACGGGTGTGCGCACGAATGCACTCGCGCTCGTTCGCTCGCGGCTCCCAGCCAGGCCACCGCCGCCACCACGATTCGCATATGCGCGCCGCTCCTCTATCTATATCTATCTATCTCTCTATATCCCTCTCCGGCTCGATAGCCCGTCGCTGCTGTGCTCTCGGAGGCAGCAGTACAGCACGTCAATAACCCGTTGCCGCCTCTTGCAATGGTATAATATGTGTGTATGTGTGTGTGTATATATATATATCGCGTGCGCTTTAGCGTGTTTCGCAAACGCGCACACACACATACATACACGTAGAAATATTTCGCATCACGCGAGCCTTCGCAAAGACGCGCCGTCGCGGACACCCCACGACCTCACGACGCGACCGTGGAAGGTGAGAGAGCGACCACCCCCGCCTCTTACTCTTCCCGCCCGTCGGGGTGGCGAGAGATGGCCCGATTGAATGCCCCCGTTTACGATTAGCGATCGCGAGCGAGCTAGCGAGCGAACATCGCGCTCCATCGATCGAAGGCGCCCCCTCCCCCTCTCTCTTTATCTCTCTCTAGCTGGTTACCACCGAGATGATACTTGTTTCAATCATCGGAGATAATTATTATCGTATAATAATTATTATGGATAATCTGGTGGTTGGCGAATTATGGCAACGTCGGTTCCCTCGGTTTGTTTCGCGTGCGGTCATGCGAAATTCGGATACCACTCTCGCGATAAGGGAGGGACGAGAGTCGAAAGGTAGGAGGAGGAGGAGCCGCAAGGGAAGCGAACTATTCGCGGAGTGTAATCGAACCGCGCTATTTTTACGCGGTGTCGCCGGGACGACGCGGAACGCGAGCGAAAAATTCTGACAGGCGGAAATTGCAAACGCTGTGAATTATTGAACCGTGACTCGTCGCACGTACAAACAGAGGAAAAGGCGATGGAAAGAGAGAGAGAGAGAGAGAGAGAGAGAGAGAAAGAGAGAGAGAGAATGCTGCATGTGTGCGACGCAGTGATAAAGAGCGACAAGGAGGCGATGGGCGAACAATGGGCGATGGAAAACGCATTTGAAAGTCGCTCGACCGATACGTAACGTGCGCGCACATGCGAATTGTATCGGGTCGACATAAATTGGCAAGAACGATTTATCGGAGGCGCATTCTTTTCGGGAACGAAACACTAATTTTGCATTCGATAATAAGGAAACGAGATATCCTTCTCTGCGATTCGATGGGTACCAACGAGTTGCCGATAACGTACGCGAATATCGATGACGCGTCTCTCCGGCGCGCATAAATAATTCATACGCATCGAAATAACTTTAGACAAGTATAAATAAGAGATTTCCACACGGACGGAACAAAAAGAATAAGAATAATAAGATCGTGGCTCAACTGAGCGGGGAAAAAAAGAATTAGCTCCTACAGCTAAAAATTAGCCATTCATATAATATATTATATCGATTAAATGAAATTTAATTAATTTAGCTACTTTTTTGTCCCTGTACTCTCGCACAGCTAAAAACTAGATCTGGCAATTAAATTTCAGTTTCGGTATTACGCAGACAGCTGATTCCTTCTTCCTGTCTGCGCAATTAACGACGACTCACCTGCGATGTTGTGTTGATGGTGGTTGTAAGTAAGAGGAACGGAGTGCAACGCCCTGGCGGACCATTTCCGATGTCTGGAGTCCTCGTCGTCGTCGTCAGCCTGTTGACCATCTTCGCCTAAGAAGTGAACTTTCTCGTACCTGTCAAGATACCTGCAATACCACACCAGCCACGTTAATATTTCACCCTTGCTTTAAGTAAATGTTTACCGAGCACACACCTTTATCTCTTATCTAAGACTAATTCTTTTTCTTAATGTCCCGGTGAAATAGCGAAGTGAGGTATCAGTTGCCGGAAGACGACAATTGGTCCGCTAATAATCGAGGAACGATCATCGACGGAAACCACCGTTTTCGGGTCAACGAAGGATCAACAGCGCGAAACTCGTGCCGTTCGACGGCACCACGTCGAGAGCGAGCGAACCGGTTGACCCGCGACGACGGCAGATCACCACGTGGCGCGCGTGTTTCAACGTTCACAGCGACGTTCTACTATCGGCGGCGCTACGGCCTATGAAGAAAGCTGCAGCGTCGCTGAACTCCACAGGGACGACGCGGAGAGACAGATCGACCGACCGACCAACCGACCGTGCATCCGTCAGTCCGTCCGTCCGTCTATCCGACGAAGGTGCGACGAACTCGCGCGATGTTCGCGCGAACAGGGTAGCTGCGAGAGACGAAGGGAGAGAGAGAGAGAGAGAGAGATGGGGAGAGGAAATCATGAGACGATGAAGAGAGACAGACAGACAGAGAGAGAGAGAGAGAGAGACAGAGGACATTGAGTCGTGGGTGGGCGAAAGAAAGTGGTGGGGGTAGATGTAGTGGATCCATTCATGCAACCGACGTACAGTGCGGAAGGTGCAGGCGGTGGAGCAAGCAGCCAGAGCCTGATTGGCCGTTGGCGGGTGCGGACTGAACACTTTGACTACCGCCGCGTGCCTAGCCACGCGTGTGTCACGCGCCGGCTTGCTGTGTTCTTACTGTCATCATCATCGCGTTAATCCTACCAACGCTAGGGCGAATCATGGGCGCTCCGGCTGAAGCCACGTGACCGTGGCGGTGGTCACCTGGTAGCTTAGCGAGAATCGAAGTCCCAAGAGGAAGACTATCGCGAAGGTTTAGTCTCCGTGTCGAGGCTGCTTTAGAGCCACGGCCAAGGTGCTTGGATGTATCTCGATCTTTCTCAAGGGTCCGTTGGGAGAGATTTTAGAAAGACGGTATATATCCACCTGTCGCGGGATCAAGAGCGATATGTGCGTGCGGCTCGTCCACGAGAAGTCCTTGAAAAGATACGCGTGTGGAAGAAGATGAACAGAAGATGAATAGTAGTTCCTTTTTATGGGTGAACTCTCAGAATTTGACAAAAACTTCCGGTCGCTATTACCTTCTATCCTGTTCCTTTTGGCTGAACTAGCTGCACTAGTTTATGAAATTTACATACACATTGAAGCGTATGAAACGTACGTATGGAGATTCTCATGCTTTAGTGCGTGAATTTCTTCAACTGGTGTAGCCAGTTAAGCTATAAGAATAAGAAAGTAAAAAATAAGCTATAAGAATAAGAAGCTAAAGGAACAGGATAGAAGGTAAGGATTATTCGTGCGCGTTGCAGCCGTTGGTTGTAAGGTGTACCATGAAGCCCTTGCGACTTCCGTCGGGTAAATTCTCCCGTACTTCATCCAGCGCCAGAAGTTGTAATTTGCCCGGCAACCAGGAAGTCGGCAGACTTAATCCGAGAACCGACCAGGGAGGAGCTCCTTGGAGGCGAGCTCAACGTGTACCCTTCGCGGTTCGTCCGGTTCTGAACTCAGTGCAACGAGAACAGTAAGTGTTCTCATTGCGCACTCCGCGAATGACGGAGCAATAATTCTCGACTCTTGGCTCGCACACCGGTCAGCCTTAATTCGCGGACGACCTCGTCTAGCGAGGATCGCACCGGCGGCCTCGGCCGTCGAGGAAAAAGCGCGGAAGCTTGCGAGCTCTGTTCGGAGTCTCCGTGCCGGACAGTTACGCGGTAACCGCCGCGATAGAGAGAAGAGAGACGACGGCGGTGGCATCGTCGTCGGCGCGGCACTCGGTGGCGTGTCCGCGCTTGGCAGCAAGGCGCGCTAACAAGATTGCAGGGCTCCACGAGGGAGAGGGACACAGAGAGCTGGAGAGCGACAGACAGAGAGAGAGAGAGAGAGAGAGAGGGCAAGGGGAGGGGGGAGGGAGAGGAAAGCGAGACTCAGGAACCACGTGGCTCTCGTAGAGCGAGGCCGGGGCATGAATGAACGCGAACGTACGTAGTACGCGATACGGAAAATGGTGGTGGGGCGTAGGGACCAATGCCGATACGCGGTGTTGGCCGTGCGGCAAAACGTTGCTACTCCCTGCCTCTTGCAGACGCTCGCGGACTGCCAGACGCAATGGAACATAGTGGCAAGCGCGCCGAGCCGCTCCGAGAAATCTCCACGCGACGAAGCCCCGTGATCGTCGTTCGACTGGCGCCGATCTCCTCCTCAGACCACGTGCGTCGAACACACTTCAACGTGCCGACCGCGCGGCAAGCCGAACCAGGTATTAAAGATTGCGAATTGCACGTTAGAGATTAGAATTTGACGGATCGATTAATGTCGATCTCATCCGCCTTCGTCCCGAACGATCAAGCTGCAATTCTCGACCCCCAGCGATCCGGCGCGGGCTGAAGGGGATTACTTGAAATCGAGCCGAAGGTCCCGGCGAGACCGTCGAGTTGGTTTCGAATTTAGCGAGCGTGACGCGACGAAATGACGACTCCGCCTGACTAATTACACCACGCGTGTTGCATGCGCCTGCCAAATTGTTGTCGGCGGCGCGGAGTTCAGAGCACCACGGCGCTGCTGCCATCCAGTCGCCGAGATGTAAAGAGTTAAAAAATAGTGACTGCTCCTTGGCGAGGAAAGTAATAAAAAGTGATCTCTCGGGTACGAAAATAGTGACCGAAAGTGACATTTCTTGTCGAATTCTTGGAGTAACTAAGGCCATTTAAGTAAAGCCATTTAAGTAAAGAAATAACTTACTCTCATCTTCCCAGGTTTAAATTTACACACAGAGAGTTCTATTCATCGTAAAGTTCATACGTTGAAAAAGAAATTGCTGCGTTCGAGTAAATATTTGCTAAGGAATATTTTAGGAGTATTTCTTTTATTTGGATTAAATAAATATTATTTGAATATAACACTTTTTTTCTCTCTTTCAGCGTGTTATATTCAAGTAATATTTATTGGATCCAAATAAAATAAACTGTTCTAATATTCCTTAGTAAGTGTTTATTTGAACGTAACAATTCTTTTCAATGTAACAAGAAAAAACCAAAGGCACGAACAATATTGCTTTCGGAGCAGTTTTATGAAAAGAAACAGCAAGAATATATATAGAACGTTTACATTTTACAAATTGAACACGTTGAGTGGCGCGCTGGTTTCCATAGATCATACAAACGTCTAACTGATGATTACGTCACTAAAGTACAGTAAATAAATATAATACGGCGTACATGTATCCCTCACCTAGTTTCACTGGCTTCTTATTGGCTGTACATTCCATTTGATAAATGCTAATAATAATATTTTATACGTAACTTAACGAGACGCGGTAATATCAGCGCCGGTCACCCCACGGCATTCAACGTACTAAGGGCAGCTAATGACGGCTCAAGCGAAAAAGTAACTATAGTGGACCATTTTAAAACGACAATGAATTTTTTAGTAACTTGCCAAGAAAAGGTGACAAAAGGTGACTCAAGTGACTGGACGGCAGTGCTGGTACAACGCGCGCACCAAGCACTGGATTTGCGAAAATAGCTTGGTTTCGCGTACAAAATGGATACTCGGGTCGTCGTGAGAGTTCAGGGCGAACATGCCCTCGCGCGCGTTTATGCAGGAGACACGTCAGATAATTCCACTTTTTCTTCGCGAGAAATGTGGAAATTATTTTCGCCGCGCGGTTATTCTCAGAAACGCAGCGCAGAATCGGTTCCATTGCACGGAAAAAAAGAAATAGCTCCCACAACTAAAGAATTAGCTGTCCATGTAAACTTAGAAATTTAGTTAATTACCTACTTTTTAATTCTCACAGCTGAAAACTAGGCCTGAAAAGTCTATTTACATCATTCATGCTCTTTCCTTGTTATAAACTTTCAAACCATACTGTAAAGAGAACTCGATATATGTTAAATTATCCAAAGATAAACCCGGGGAAGTAAAAGTAAGTATATTAATGTTTCTGTTAAATGGCCATAAATATTCTCGAAATTTGACAAAAAATGTCACTTGTGGTAACTATAATTATATTTTATTATATGAACAGCTAATTCCTTTTTTCCGTGTGGTATTCGCGCGATCGTACTTACCGGAGATAAATCTGCTTGAGGCCGACCCCGCTGTTGATACAACCGTTGGGAAGATGGAATTGTTCGCACAACGACGCCCACTCATTCCTGGTGTTGACCTGCAACGAGAAAACAGAGCGATACGTGAGAAATTGTTCGACGACACACGGAGCGAGCGCGCCTCGCGATATTGATCCTCAGAGGCTCGCGATAAAATCGCATTAGCAGTGTTTGACGAAACCGCCGCGCTCGCGTGCGTCTAACCCGCAAACGTCATTTGTAGCGCGCTCGCGCACACAGTCTTCGGTAGTCCATCGTTATTTTAAGCCGGGGCTCTCGGCACTTCGACGCGTATCAAGAATAATTCAAGGAAATCCGCGTTCACTTTTACCGTGCCAAGATTTTCGCGCGACCCGATTTTCCTCCGCGCCGATCGTTCGCGAGATGTTCACACGAGATCGCAAATGGCGTAGAGATTCGAGATTCTCTAATCCTCTAATGGTGAAAAGTTGGGGTCGAATCCGACCCCGTGTTCTGTTTTGTTCACTTCTCATTTAATTAATGTACAATATGGGTGCTCTCTAAATTTCTTGGAGTAAGTACTTGGTATTTTCATTCACTTGTCTTCACTCAAGCGAGTGAAAATATTGTCATTCTAACCACTACAATTCATTTCAAGAAATTTAGAGAATGAAAGAAGTAAATAATAACAAGAAACTTCTTTCTCTGTTTATTTATAGATGGAGAGAAATACAATCAAGTTTACTAACTGACGTTAAATAACTGTAGTAGAACACTTTGGAAGAACGCTTTAACGTTCTGAAAATCTATCTTGCTATTGGAGCTTTAATTAGGTTATCAAATGGGAATTCCTCGTCCACCTCACCCTCCCGATATCGTCGGCGGCAAGATCGCGGCTTGTCTCGCCGAAGAGATATCTCGAGAATTCCCCGGATGGAGAAGCGAGCCGATAAAACGTGATATGGCGACACCGGGCGAATTTCTGCAGCCGGTTGGAAAAAAATAAACGACCCGCTTCTTCCTCTTCTTCTTCTCGGTTCGCGCGCGCGCGCATCCCGGAAGTCCCAACTTTGATTACAATAACATATTCTTCCGCTAATTCGTGAGCGATTTCTCCCGCGGAGGCGGAATTTCGCCGCGAGCGCGCGTCAGTTTTCTCTCGAATTTCTACAATTTTAAAGTTTCGAGATAACTCCGTTCTTCTCTCCCAATTTTTCTGCGGATTTTTTAGTTTCTTACCTTTTTTTTACGGGAAAAAGTAAATGTGGCAGGTTTTGGCTGAACACGCGTGAATTTTTCTAAACGAATTTTTAATTATAAATTATGTTAATTTCTTATATTAATAATTATAAGAATAATTACATCAATAATTATACAGTAATAATAATAATAATTAAATATAATAACTAACAAACTATATTAATAATTTCTATACGAGTTTCTAATAATTTATATCCTTGGGAGAGAAACCGAAGAAATTCACGGAAAAATTGGGGGGAAAAACGACTTTTTGCCGAAACTTGAAAACTACACGAATTTTCTCGAGGGAGCTGCGACTTGGTGACTCCTCGTCGAAGCCATCGAGGTTCAGTGATCGAGTGCTGCTCCTGCTGCGAGCTCTTGCGAGAGCGGAACAATCGGTACCTTTGATCATGATAGCTGCAACCGGACCAGCGCGACATGGTGGAACACCGGCGTGAAGCACGAATCGGCATTCCGCAGCGGAAATAAATGTTTATTGCGCCCGCGTTTATTTCGGTGAATTACGCGCACGCGGCAGGAATTCGCGTTTCGCCGTTTCCTTTTTCTCGCTGTCACCGGTATCACACACGCCGGTATACCGCGATCGTAAATCAGATTTATGCGTGCGCGCGTGCATTCGTCCGTATATGAAATATCGAGAAAAATAAGAGCGCTAACCGCGCAGGCATTGTTCTGGATAAACGTGCATATTGCTTGAGCGCACTTTGATCCTTAGTCACGCGCGGTCGTGACGATCACGTCACTCCCGCGAGTGCACATGACGGTGTAGAAGAAAATTGTAAATAGAATTATTTAACATTATGTTCCGTGAACAATGAATTCGACAAGGCAAACGGAACTGTGTGAACAAGTCTTGAGTTTGTACCGAGTGTTTACATAAGACCGTTAAATTCTAAAACGGGTATTCATAGTCCAATCTTTTATTTGAGACTGTCTTGAGTTCATCTCCAGATGCTCCGTAGCTGATGAAACTATCTGTACAGCATCTGAAGATGAACTTGAGACGATCTTAGCCCTCGACTAACAAGGCTGAGTCGGATCCGACCGGAGCCATTCTGATGCTTCTGCACATACGTTGATGAAGCGTAGCGTGTTGTGATTTCGTGAGTCTTTCAAGCCAGTCTTCTTATCGCAGTGGCTGGTAAGTGGGATTGTATTATCTTGTTCGGTTATATCATTACTATTGTATCGCTGGTCGCCGAGAACTCTTTTTTTTTGCATGACTTTTACGTCTAATAATGTATTATTATCATTGTAAGGACTAATTTCCTCATCTCGCTTTCACGGTCGAACTTGATCCATCTTATTAACGCCACTTTTTCCTCATTATCTTTTTACTTTATTATCTTTTGACTAATATTTGTCATAAATTGACAATGATAGTTTGCAATTATTGTTTTACCGATTAGGGAAAAACAGATAATTCTCCCTCTCTCTTTCTCATTTTTAATACAATTTTTCCAAAAATCTGTTTTTCTCATTTCCTAATTACACATTATTTGATTACATATTTATATCATTACATTATATTATTATCTTTCTAACAAAATTAATAGGTTAAATATATAATATCCCATACATGAATTTTAAGGTTTCCGCTTGAATATAAATATTGCAATGTACTTTATATACCAGGTATTTTACACATTTTGCGTTATATTTTACTTGCATTTAAAGATTTCCCAACTTATTGCGGGGATAAAAAGTGCCTGGTCGAAAAACCCTCGTCCACAATTTTGCTTCAAGACGTAAGCAGTGATCAAATTGACCAACCACGGTAGTTTATTAGAAGAATAATCGCGGTAGGTCAATTCGCTTACCGCTTACGTCTTAAAGCAAGAGCATGAGGTTGGTCGGAAAAACTACAAGATGCTTCCGCCGGTCGGAGCCGACCCACCACCTTGTGGGGGGTTGTTACCACATGAACCTTGTTAGACGAGGATTAAATGTAAGATCCGACTATGAATACCGGCCTAAGTGGGCGAATGTAACGTAGAGAAGCTCTCGCAACGATCGATTAATCTCGTGAGCGACCGCAATTGTGCACACTAGCAAGTTAATTAACAAAGCATCATTGCGACATCTTACCCACCCCTCCCAGGGCGTCCTCCGTTGGACGACGCGCGCGAGTCCAGAAGCATCGGCGGCGTGCACGTGGTTTCTACAGGCGTGACACGTGGCCACGCGAGCGACGCGTAGAATCGTCGGCGGCGGCAGTCCTGCGCTCTCAAAGTGCGCTCTAAGCGACGGAGGCGGCAGCGGCGGCGGCGGAAAAGGGTGGGTGGGGGCGGCGCGGGAGTCGTAGTTCGCAAAATCAGCGGCGGCCGAGCATACTGGGTCAGTGCTCCCTGGATCGGCGCCCGTGTCTTCGCTCTATTCTGGTCGCCGTCGTCGTCGCCGCGACGCCCGATGAATCGGGAACGTGGCGCCGCGCCGTGGGCGACCGCAAACGCGCGCGCGGCCGAGCGCGTTGCTCGGTAACCGAGTAATAATAGTTAACGAGACGGGGAGCCGCGACCTGTACGTGTATTTTCGGAACGCGGGCACGGGAAATGTCAATAATGGATGCAGATATGAAAATTCCCTGGCATCGAACGATCGTCTCGCGCGGGCGGGAAGCCGTCAAACGACATCTCGCGCGACGGAACGTTGGCGGAAACATCGGCGGCGCGCACCCACTTCCTGAGGGGATACACACACGCATCGTGCTTCGACGCTTTTCAATCCATTCGCGGGTGGAGATAAAAAAAAAGCAGAGTCAGGAGCGAAGCTCGTACGCCGTTCGTATCTTTTGTTCCAAGGATCGAGAGAGCTGATTGATCTTTCGACGCATGGAATCATCCGTCACGCCTTGCCCGGATATATACGGTCCGTTCTTCTTAACTGAACTGGCCGCACCAGTTCGCGAAATATACGTACACGTTGAAGCGTACTTACAAGATCCTCACGCTTCAGTGCGCGTTAATTTCTTCGAGACCAATGAGAAATAGTTCGATTAATATTCCGTGCGCTAAATCATCATCATCGTCTCGGTCCTACCGTTCGAGGGAAGCCGGTCCTCCCGTCCACGCGACGTCGCGGCGAAACGGTACCCGGGCGCCAGCAGCTGATCGGCGACTCGACGATCGCCGTGAGATTTTGCGCGCGCGTCAGGAAGCGCACCTCTCTCGGCGCGACGCGCTCGGAAGCTCGTTTCCCGCCAAGTTCGATCTAGCCGGAGGGGGGAGGGGGAGGGGGGGGGCGCGATTAGGTCGGTACCATCGTCGCCACGAGGTCGTGTAATCGCGCGACTTTGCTCGACCTTGATGGAGTACGAACGGCGCGGCGGGACGCATGCGCGGCGCGGGCCCGTTCCTCGGAAGCATCGAACGCGTATCCACCACGTGGTTCGGCGGGTTCCGAGGCACACTGCATGATGAAAGTGTCTTCAGCGGCGACCACGTGGCCGTCGTTAGGGTAGGACACGGTCCCTCTCTCTCTTTCTCTCGCTCGTTCGCTCGCTCTTTCCCACCCCCTCCTCTCTCGCGCGATTCTCTCTCCCGCCCCTCTCTTCCTCTCTCCTCGGACGAACACACGCGGCTGCAACGCCTGCCTATGACTCCACCGCGTCTTCCGTTGCTTCCTCCAGCGGGGGGTACCGGCCGAAGACTCCGGCTCGTCTCGATCGAGATCGCGTTGTTACCTTCGTCAATTGCCGATCCGGGCCTCATTGGATGAACGTGAAGAGCAGCCTCGCGCGCGTCTGACCCGAGGAACTCGTCGACGATGGGTATTTTCCATTTGACGACGCAAGTCGACACAAGCGTCATCTTATCCTTGCTTTGCTCGTTGAATA